ATGTTGACCAAGAAAAATTGCCCGTCAATTGCTGCACGAACTATGTTTAGCAAGTTATTGCTAATAAGCCGATATATGGTGCTGTACATTTCTGGTCTTGTGTAATTAAGATCTAAAAGGTTTATGGTTGTGGCATTTCAGCTGCCCTTACCTTTAGACTGGTATTCTTAGTTTAGGTGTAACTGAATCAATCATTATAAAATTCAAGTGTATCTCCTATAATCTGCTCTGAGCTCTGTTAAGTGTAAGAGCAAGTGACTTGAAAGTATATAGCAAGGTTGTATCAATAAGCAAACTGAACACAGAATTGATAAATACAATAGCGGACTAGCTTCCTACAGTTGGTCCTCAGGGAAGATGTTTAGACTTTATACTACTAAATACTGCTACTAATATTGCTACTTCAACTCATTTTCCATGTCTTACATGCTGCCTCACCCAGGTTCATGGAACATTTGCAACTGCGGGATCTGATGGCGCCTTCAACTTTTGGGACAAAGACAGCAAGCAGAGGCTTAAGGTATACTTGAGCTTTTTAAGTGCTAGTTTCTGCAAAGTTCATTGTCTTACTTTTATGAATACAAGAATTAGTCTTTCTTAGAATGGACTTCTCATACATATAAATGCATGAACTTGATAAGGCATCTTACTTTTTTTTGAATATCCTAGTTTCTGGACAATAAAAGACAAAATATCTCTTTTCATTTTCTTTATTCATTAATTTGCTTTTATTATGACAAAATGAAAACTTTTCATCTAGCAAAAGAGGATTGCTCTATAAGATCTTACTTGGCCGACATGACCTTTCTGAAAATTAGGTTTTTCTATGGGAGTACCAATGATTTCTCGGTCTTTATCTTGCAAATTTATAATCAGGTGACCCATAAATAGTAGCAGACAGTCATTCATTAAGCAAAGGAAATACTACTTCTGGGGCTTTTATTTATGAGAAAATCATTATGTTATGTCCTCAGCTACCTTTTATTGCTTTGATACAAACTGTCTCTCTCTTGAAGAGACTTTATGGCTTTCTTTAAATTGGTCATATATGGAGTTGCAAGTAAAGAAAAATATAATCAAAAAGAACAACAAATCAGAACATATCAAGACAGTTGTTTGCTTGTGACCCTCATTTATCTCAGCTGCAACCTCACTTATGCTGATCTGAGTTTTCTGGTTCATTCTCCGTGCAACAGTAATGGCTCAATACCAACCTAGTTGGTGCAGCTATATGAATTCTCAATGTCCATTCCGCTCCACTTAACCCATTTCATCCTAATACTCCATAATTTGTCTTTTACAGTTTAATCCTCACTTCATGTGACACTTTCTATTTTGGAACATCCTAAAATGTGTCAATGTTTGACACAATCTTATTCTTATTCAATTTTGACAACTTCAACGATTCAAATCCATAAACTATTAAATTTTTGACCTTAGATGTGATATTTTCATCAAACAACTTTTCGATCATTACTATAACTATTTATCATCATCAAATCTAACATCTTAAATCTGTTCCAATCAAGTAGTGCTATATTAAGTTGGACGCTGGCATGCTTTTCAATTATACTAGCATGTTTTAATACTGGCTCATTCTTTATAGCATGTTATAATTTTAAGCGGAAGAAGACAAGAATGGTTTGTATTTAACATTTGCAGCCTCTTCAACTTTGGCATCTTGTTTTATGAGTTTTCTATGTGTGTTTCTTTAGGCAATGTCAAGATGCAGCCAGCCTATACCTTGCAGCGCTTTCAACCATGATGGCTCAATATATGCATATGCGGTATGTTTTTGGTGACTTTTATTCAGTAGAAACTAGAACTTCTACTATGAGTATCCTTTTGTAGTTCACACTCACCCTCTCCCTAGGATACTTATCCCAGTTCCCGTGTAGCCTTTTCCCTAGCCAAAACGAATGCATAATGGAACTTCTTTTTCTCTGTATTTTCCCCTAATTCTTGAAACTGCTGACGTCTTGTTGTCACCAACTCTTCTGATTCTCTAAGTCTTGCATGCAAATTTACTTCTGTATCCAATTTGATTATCAGGTTTTGTTTGTAGGTTTGTTATGATTGGAGTAAGGGTGCAGAAAATCATAATCCATCAACCGCAAAAACATACATTTACTTGCACTTCCCACAGGTATATTCCACGAACAACAGAACCTTGGTTTCTTTAGTGTTTGAACCATATATACTCATTAATCCCCAAACGAAAGAAAAAGAAAGTATTAGTGTTTAAAGGCAAAAGACGATTAATTTATGCTATTTCATGCAGGAGTCTGAGGTTAAAGGCAAGCCTCGAATTGGGACTAGCGGTAGAAAGTGAAGTCAGCAGTAAAGCTACTTGTCACCATTTTGGGGAAAAGTGTGTTTTTGTTCTGTACATGGAGATATTTCCGTTTTGGGGGGTTTCTGTATGCATATACAATTTGTTAGTCGGAATAGGAGTTTTTAACTTTGAAAACTGAAAAGAAAAGTTCTTCCTAGATGATGATTTGAGAAAGATATTCTTTGTTAGCACTTTACTATATCAGAATGGGCCTTAGATATTAGATAATGGGATTTTTACCTATTTATACCATATATCAAACCTTATTACCAAAAATGTTCATAATTTGTTATTTACCCGTGTAGTCCACACTTTTACTACAAATTATATACCAATCCAAAAATAGATAGATTTTGCCATAAAAAATGCGCTAAAATGAAGGCACCAGATCTGCGTGTGATTCTGTCAACATTAAATTCGAATTGTTGCGTAATTCTCTCCTTCCTCAACGGAAAGAGATCTCTCTTCTCTCACTCAACTACAATTCTCAAAAAACGCAAGCTACTGAAGCTCTAGCAATCAAACGGAAAGGAGATTTCTGTTCTTCATCTTCATCTTCATCTGTTCTTCCATATATTTTCCACCATTGATAGCCATTAAAAAGCTTGAAAGCTTTGAATTCAAATTTGTGTTTTCAAAAATCATTATTTGCTTGGATTGGGTGTTGTTGTAAATAATTCGGAATATGTTTAGGAGTTTATATCTCAATTTTCAGGGGTTTTGGTGAAGATTAGACTTGGTTTTGACT